CTCTCACTACAACTTTACTTCTTCGCTTTACATTTTTGTCTGTTATAATTCCTTTGTATATTTTTCTTGATGTTTTTATGAATGTGACAAGTTGAACTGTTGAATATCTGTGCAAAGTCCCATTTTGAAAACTCAGTTTCAATTGGTTCAAAATTAAATCATAATTCTGAAGATTCCATTATGGAGAAAATTTATATTGATAAAGTCTCACAGTGTTAGACAGTTGTAGCGGTAGGTAATTCCTTAGAATTACTAGCCGCAGCATTTATCAATGAACATTGCATGCTGACCCTCACTATTTAAGGTGATCTGTTGAGATGAAGGCTTATGGTCAAGCATCCACGCCGTTCAGTACTTGGTCATTTTACGCTAATTCGATCGTGCACGATTCCTTGCTAGTTAAGCAATTATCTCGCACTCCAATTCGGTCTCGAAATGTACTTCGTAATTCGGATGATCAGTTCTGGTACTTTGCTTTGCTTTTGGTCTACGTGAAACGAACACAATCGGAGTTGTGAGTATTAGATCTTGCGTTAGTATTAATCGTATTGTCTGTGAACGTCAACACCCTCAGGCTCTAAACACCAATATTCAATGATGACCACCTTTCATAATCATATCAAGTTACTCACACAACTTTCTGACTTCATTTACATTACATGAGCAAAAACCTGATTAGAATGAATAAAATAAAAGTCAGTATAAAGTTCAATAGAAATGTGTGAAACAGAAAGGAAGATAAAGTACATTTGGAAATAATATTAGTATTATCAATAAAATATAATACGATGAGAAATAAGACGACTGTTTTTGTTCAAAAGATAGAGAATAAGGTATTTTTAGTAAAATGTTAGAGTGTGATAACGTGAATTGAAGTATAGAACAAAATTTAACATTGTCTATTATCTTCTAATTTGACTGGTGTTAATAATATCTTCCATATCTCTGGTATTTACAATGAGTCATTTCTGTTGTATGTGTTGAGTGTAGACTCGATGAACCAGGATTCAGTAATCAATCTCTCTCTATCTCGACCTACCTATATTAATTTTTAGAATTTTAACTCTGTCCCATCCACCCTATTGTTTGTTTTGAGTTAACGCATACAGTTTTTTCTAAATTTCTTATCTTCATTGGGTCAATCATTCTAACCTTAGCTGAATTCTTATGTTCTGATAATCTCAGTACTCCTGATCTACTAGTTTGAACTATATAGTTGACCTCACTCATAGCCATTGCAAGGTATTTTGCAAATTATGTAATTTTGTCTAATTGGGTTCACTGGATCCATTAGCCTACAGAGCTTGTCCCTGAGTGAATTCGCATGCTCATCTTCTACTGTAATTCCTGCTTTATTGAGAATCCTACGTAGGACCTCAGATGTCCCCTCTTTATATGGCAAAACTGCAGATGCCTTATATTCTTTCTTATTAATTCTATTATTTTTTTATTTTTATTTTTGATTTACAGCTTGATTCCACACTGTATTTTTGGTACAAGTATGGAATTTTCAGCATGGATATCGGTAGCCCAAATTTTGCAGGCCGACCATAGATATCAGGTGTGCGTCGTCGCGGACTCGAACCCCGGACCATGTGTATGGTCGGCGAGAGTCCTAACCACTGTGCCAGTAACGAATAAAGCAATAAGAAGACGTAATTTGTCTGAATCGTGTAATGTATTTGCGCAACACATTTCGAACAATCTGATCACACACACGGACTTGTCATAGGAATATATATGAAATAAATAAAGAAGTAAGAGGTGAGAAAATAGACAAATTGGGTCAAGTTAAAAGTATATATTGAAGGTCAAAATAACAATGAAGACCACTAAACCAAATACCAGAGGTAATAGTACACCTGCTATGGTATCAAAACAAAATTTACCAAGGAATGTTTAATGTAATGACGAATTATTTTTGAATGCATAAAGGTGGTTTAAACTTTCTAATTGCTAAGGCTTCAACAAACTTTAGGATACGCCCCAAACACGTTTTATAGATAGGTTTAAAAGATATGTTAACGTCAATTTTATGTCCTGTTTCTATAATATGTTTCGCAATAGAAGAGTTAGGGCTCCTGTTCTCATTATTAGTTTCACCATTATTTTTACTTTGCTTTTGACCTTTTCTGATATTCTTAATGAATTTTATTGGATATTTATTTAGCACCAACGCTTCTTCTTCTATCTGCTTTATTTGTTATACTTTTGTTCTACTACTTGGTACTACTGCTCGGTTTGTTAGACACTTAACTAAGCCTGGCTTTACAGATAACGACGGATGAGATGAATTAAAGTCTAAATATCTATTAGCAGAATGTGTTGGTTTTTTTATAAACGCTAGTGTGTAGTTCGCCTTCTTCTATTCGTTTTATTTTACAATCCGACATAGCTAATTCTCCTTGTTCACTTTCCAATTCAAATGTGAATTTTATTCCCTTCACAAGTGAGTTTATATGCATCAAGAAGCTAGAGATTTGTTCTGTTTTTAACATTGTGAAGGTCTCATTCACATATCTTCACCATATCTTTGGAGTAGGATTAAATGTTGTATTGAGAGTAATATTTACCCTGCTGTCCCTAGAGATATATGCTACGACAGGGGATATTGTTGATCCATCCGATCGCTCCACCTTCTGTTTGTCCATATATTTTGCCTTGGAATTTAAAGACAGTAGATGTGAGGCATAATTGAATTCCTAAAACAATTTCCTCAATGGGTAGCTTTGTCCTATACGTAAGTTCAAAATCAGGGGTTAGTTCTCTTTTAGAACAAAACATTTAAGCGAACAATATTGTTTTCAATTAGATCTCATCAGGCTTAACTCTAATATATATAAGTTTACAAATAAAAATTCAAATATAAACTAATCATGATGTTTTGTCTATAGGATAATGCGATGGTGAATATAAATTGTGCAGTTAGTCATAATAATGGTAATGATAATGTGCGTCGGTGGCACAGTGGTTAGGACTCTCGCCGACCATGCACATGGTCCGGGGTTCGAGCCCACGCCGGCGCACACCTGATATCTATGGTCGGCCTGCAAAATTTGGGCTACCGATATCCATGCTGAAAATTCCATACTTGTACCAAAAATACAGTGTGGAATCAAGCTGTAAATCAAAAATTCAAAAAAAAAATAATAGTAATAATAATAATAATGGTCTTATCAATAATAAGGATGAAAAAATGAGGCAATCTGTGATAACACGAATAATGAAAAACAGTATGATTAAACAAACAATTGTTCAGGTGGAAGTAGTCGATAAAGGCTGGCTAATAAAAACAAATGAACCGATTACGTAATGTTAGATTGTAGGGGAAGGAAATGAAACACGTTTATAATGAATATAAGATAAGATTAAGGGATGATAAGAAAAGGGTTGGAAATATAAATAAAGGGTGGTGTAGACGTCTTTCGTTGGTTACGTCTTATTAGGCCATGGGAGGGATAATGGCTGCACGAACTTCTTTCGAATGCATAGTTTAGGTTTAATAGTTCGAATGCCTATCGCCTCAGCTGTGTGCAGTAGACGAATACGAAGTCTATTAAAATGATTCGGAGGGATACGATGAATTACTTTGAAGGCTTTCGTTTTGTCGACTACATGACCACTATCAATTAGATGTGACAGAATTGAGCTACGGATTGTTTTTGTCTGTCCTTTGCCAAACCACGATGGGAGATGTTCACTAACACGTTGGCTAAGCTGTCTAGTAGTACGCCCAACATAACTGCCACCGCAGGTGCAGTTGAATTGATAAATACACATAGATGTAGCAAAACTATCAAGCTTATCCTTCGTTTGCGTCCCAATCATTCGTCGGCTAGAGAATGACAAACATAGGTGTGCTGCGTAAAATGTTCTACGTATGCTCCTTGAAAGTCTTTGGAATAGAATCTCACTAGATAAGTCCCCATTAAATTGTAACTTAATAAATAGAGGTTTCTTATGTGCAGTCAGAGTCACAGGTTTCTTCTCTGATGGTTTCATGTTTTTTTATGAAACTACTCGGATAACCCATCTTCGTCAAGGAATCGTGAATATATTCAAATTCCTTTTGTAAGAGGTCCTCCGTACATATCTTCCTTGCTCTGCTCGCGAGACATTTTACAGGATTCCTTTTATATTTAATGGGCACGTAACTAAGGACGTGTGTGTACTGCCCTGTGAATGTGCTTTTTCTGTACACACTTCTCCCAAGTGACCCATCTTCTCTCCTACTTAGCAAGAGATCCAGGAAGTGTAGTTTATTCTCCTGCTTCTCTTCACAAGTAAAGGTGAGCGAAAGGTGGATGTTGTTGAATTTAAGTAGCAACTCGTCTATGTTCACCTTCTCATCAGCTAAGATAAATGTATCATCAACATATCGGTAATACATATCCAACTCCTTGATGGTATCCTTCAATTTCCCGTTTTCAAGTTTTGCGAGAAAGAAGTCAGCTAATATTGGGCCTAATGGTGAACCCATAGCTATTCCATCTACTTGTCGATAGTATGAATTATTCTCTTCAAGCTGATTCTAAGGCCATACTGACTAGTATATTAATATAAAGACCAGTTATTTCAAAATTAACTATCTTCTCATTATTCTCTAATTGAATATCATTTAGTTTCCTTTACATTTCATCCTGAAGATTCTGTATTCGATTATTCAGCACGTCTATGCGTGAATATTGTCATGATATGAAACGCCCAACTGATCAAAAATCACTTAATGAGTATAGATAATTGCTAGCAAGCTATTTCCTTCATCAATCCTTAATTTAAATTATCACTTACCACTTAGTAAGTTTCATTGTTGTCAAGGTATTGAAAGTGAAGAGAAATTAAGCTTTATTACACGTACAGACTCAAATCACTCTCCATATATAATGGAATGCATGCCTTATACTCATTTCAAGTGATACGATCAAATCTATTTCATTATCGATTCGCATTATTTAAAAAACACGTCAGATGACTGATCATTACTTCCTTTCTGAACAATAAACATAAAGTTATGAGTATAAAACAGTTATGAGAATTAAACAATGGAGAAATAATCTTAAAAAATTTAAAATACCCACTCCACATGCTTATGCAGCAAAGAATAAATCAGTAGAGAGAAATGTAATTCATTTACAGACTTCAGATAAACAAATTTTTAAAGATAATATTGTACAAACTTCAAATAGTAATAACAACGAAATGAATGAATTAAGTAATCAACTACAAGTTCACTTAGAGAGATTAACCAGTACTAAAAACACTTGGAATAATAAGAATAACTTTGACAAATCAAACAATTTTAAATTATCCTCTCTTAGTGACCTTCACAATCCAGTGAAACAACTGAATTCCGGTATAAAACAAATTGAATTTTTAATCACTTTATTTAAATATATTGAAACAAGTGAAGGTGAATTGTATTATTATCAGAAGCGAGTACGTGCACAGTTACTAAAGAATACTAAATTACAAAAAGATTTAATTCATCAACAAAAGAAGTATATCAAACAAGTCAAACATACTACTGAAATGGAATATATCCTACAAAATTTGTGTCTTATCCTAACATTAGACAATTTTAATTATAATTTAATAAATTTTAGAACTTTAAATGAACAAATCTGTTTAAATAATTGTTATAAAGCTGAAAATTTTCATACATTACCAAATTTATTAATGACGAAAGAACAGATTGTCTCGATAAGAAATTCTCAAAAGTTACTGACATCAGGTCAACACCACATGGCAGTAGAAATGATCAAATATTCTGTAAACAATTCAGTAAGAACTTCTTTATCAATGAACAAGGGTAACAGTTGCGCCTTAATGAAATGTAACCTTCTTGAAGTGATAACCTCTCTGGCTGATTGCGCAACTCATTGTCTAATCAATTATGAAAACAAATTAGCTCGTCAATGTGTTGAACACTTATTCATGATTATGTTAAATATTCAACGCAAGGAATTAAATGAATTCAAAAATAGTAATAATAACAATAGTGATATATTCAAAAAGTTAAATAGATTCCTTTCAAAGCACACATTCAATACAAATGAATGGTGTTCAATATTCAACTGTTTTTATAAAATATGTCTTATTTACTCAAATGATAATCATTTTGATAAATGTATGAAAATTTTATTAAGTTTAATGAACTACACATGCCAACAAACAATATTAAATAAAAATGAATGTTTACAAATGAATTATTTAATAAATTCATTGCAATGTATGTTGGCTAATTCAGTGGTATTGAACAGTATACAATCATTTACAATAAGAAGTGAAATGTCAACAAGTTATCTTCATTTGTGTATGTTATGGAATGAAATCAGTTTAATGTACATGTCAGTTACAGGTTTGAATCAAAATTCAAAACAAAGCAGTTTAACTAAACAAATAACTAGCGCTGCATTCAACCTATGGGATTATTCAATAGAATATCTTGCTTATCAATATACAGAAATAGGCGCTCTAAATGATTTGATAATGCTTATTATAAAAAGAATAATTCTAAGACGACCAACAACTTATTATGCCTATTCAAAGTATAAAAATCAATTGCCGCCTATCGAGGAATCACAAAACCGCGTCTTTCATATGCTGAATACTATTTTATTATGTTTAGAAGCTGACAGTTCAATACAGACTAGAATTTTTAATTTAAATGATACGTCAAACCAGTTAACGATGGTTATGTCTACATTTGCTTCTGAATACCTACATGAATTGGAAATAAAAATGAAAGCTATCGCAGAAGTGGAATTACTTCATCAAACAGATGTGAATATTATTCATGAGCTTATATTATCAATGAAACAAAAGGGGACATTCATTATCACAACACAAATATTAGACATGTGGGTTGAACTTTGTCAGGATAGTTGCCATCAGAAATTGTTAAGAAGACAAATGATACCTAGGCGACAACACTTGGTGCCAAAATTGAATTATGCTCTAAATTTTGTGAATGGATTTATCGAAGAAATTCTAAGTAAGCGTACACGTCCTTCAATACATAACATTAATAATAATAACAACAACAATGAATATGAAATGTATAATTTTAGTCAGCTGCTTAGATTACCAAAAGGTCTAATCCTATCAATAAATAAAATATTTCAACTAACTGATCATTTAATAGCTTATTCAAACAAATCAGATTCAATGTCCAATGGACATGATTCAGATTCGCGTTTCTTTTTCAAGTTAAATGATGATTTATTAAATTTATGGAATAAAGAAAAACAAAATGCTGATTATTCAAGTGACAAAATCTACAATAATCACCCAATAAGTGTTAATAAAATTCGTCAAGTTTGGTTAAATGAAAATGCTAAGTGCTATAACTATATTAATGGAGCGAAGAATGAAAACGGGGTGGACATTAAAATCTTCACAGCAAAGTTAACTATTCTGGAAAAAATTTCAAAGAAACCGTCTACATCCTGAACTATAAGTATTTTCCACAACTCTAAGCGGTGAATCATTAGTCTTGGTAGTTTGTTCACACTGGCGCTTTCCCTTACGATGACTAGAAGCTAAAGTATCCCAGAGGAAAACTATATACTTTAACACTTTCAACTGTCAGTCAGTAAACTCTCTCTGTCACACATCTGACACTAAACTGCGAGAGATACTCAGTTGAAGTTTAAAGGAAAGACTTGAAGTTGAGCTGATGCACACCTATTTTTGTACGACTAGTTTGTTTAACTTACGATTTGTATTGTATATCCTAGCTGATTAGTGTAATGTTGAGCTTTTTTGGGGTTAATCCATTGAACACCTTCATTTCTGTCTTCCGTTTTCTTGCAATAGGTATTATTTAACTATATGAAAGCTTTGCAAGAAGTAAAAGCAGTGTTCCTCTGCAGTTTACAAAGTAAAATAATAGTTGGGTTAAATTTATTAGATAGTGAAAATTAAGTTGAAAGCGCTATATTCAGTTGCTGCTAAATTAACATGCTTGTCCATCTTACTCAACTTCATAACACTATCAGTCATGCTCCCTTAGGCAGATTTTCTTACCACAGTAGAAATGTTCGACAGAAAGCAGGTGGACCATGGGCGATCGATGTCGTAGTGTACGTTGCTTGGCTTGTGGTAAGACTTCTAAGCATAATGTTCCTCATGAGTAGTACGACCTATGAGCTGGCCTTAGATGAAATTGTTTGGTGGGTTTTTACCATTCTATGGAAGACCACAGGAACCTATCCCAGAAAATATTCAAGTAAAGTGATGCACGACTTAACAATAGATATCCTTCTCGTGGCCTTTAGCTATACACCTGACTTCATACAAAAATCTGCCCCCTTATGTTAGATTCCTTCGTTAACTCAAAGTACCCAGATGACTTGTCCCTGTTAGGCAAAGAATGCAGTCAAAGAAACTTCCACCACACATTTTGTAGAGGGCTTCGCTGTACTCTACCGAATTCTTAAGGTGGAATTTCAAACAAAACCCTGGCACTTAAAGCTACCACACACCATATAAGCACAAATAAAGGTAGAGAATAGAGATATAAGCTTGGAAGAGTGACTGAATGGGGAATCAATAGATCTGAAAATTCACAGGGGATGAATGCATCTGTAGTACATCTTGAATGTTTGAGCCCTTGTTTTAGCGCATTCATGTACTATGGCGTCAAGCCATCTTTCTTTTTCCTGCTTGACTGCTTGCACTTGGCACGCTCCATCGTTGTGTTATCACTAAGCTATCCAAGCCTGTATACAGATATTATTATTATTGCTCCCTTGGGTTCCTAGTGGAACATAGGGCTTCAACTGCACGTCTCCATTTGCTTCTGTCTTCTGCTGTACTTTTCATTTGCATCCATGTTAGTCCATACTGTTTCGACTCCTCTTCTCACGATCTCCTCCATGTAACCCTTGGAAGTCCCACTCATCACTTCCCTTTCGGGTTCCACTCGAGCAATGGCCTGACGCGAGCGCGATGTCACCAAATGGCCTCCTCAGCGAGTGTCCGATCCATCTCCACTTTCTCCTGCATATTTGTTGGTTGGCGATTAGTTCTTGCTTTGTTTGTTCCCATAATTCCTTGTTGGTGATTCTTTCCGGCCCGGCCATCTGATCTTCAGTATAGGGTGAAGACAGTTGTAAATAAAGGTTAATAAAGGAATATTCTTTGTGACCCGCCCGCCAAGTTTCTGATCAGTCTGTATAGAAGAGCTGACTGACTTGACGTTTGTATTGAAAATCCGAATTTTGTTGTTGATGCTGAGTGACGAAGATTTCTAGATTGATTTCAGGTTGATGAATGTGTTTCTCGCCTTCCCGGATTCTTGAATTTACATCCTTGTCCGTTCCTCCTCATGTAATTGAGACAATGCTCCCTAGATCAGTGAATGAAGTAACCTCTTTCAAATCCCTCCCGTTGATGGTGATTGGCGCTAGATGTTGCTGATGTTGTTGTTGTTGTTGGTTGGTTATTTTCATCACCTCCGTCTTGTCTATGTTCACATGGAGTCCTGTCTTCGCCGGCCGCTTCTTCGACCAGTTTGTCGGTTTTCGCCTGTAAGTCTTCGATTGTGTGTGACATCAAACATAAATCATCGCCGCGCGAAATCCAGGTCTTCTAGGTTCTTCACGTCGGTCCAGGATATTCCTGTCCTCTCGTTTCCCACTGTCTGACGCATGATCCAGTCAGTGCACCACAATTAGGAATATCATTGGTGATAGTAAGCCCCCTTGTCTGACTCCTGTGTTTACTCCAAACGCCTCGCTGAGTCTTCCGTTGTGGATCACTTGGCAGGTGCCGTTGTCGTACAGCTGTTGAATAAGGTTGATCAATATTTGGGGCACGCCATATCCAATATAGTTTTAACGAGCTAGTAAAACCGATTTGATTTCTTTGTGCTCGCTTCTTGATTGTAAGGTATAGGTTCCTGATCTTCGCCATAGTACTCGAGTAATTTCCAAATTACTTCGCGGTAAACGCTGCTGTTGAAGGCCTTCTCAAAGTCTATAAAGTTGAGGTAGAGGTTTGATCACCATTCCATGCTTTGTTGGATGATGATGCGTAGAGCTACAATTTGGTCAGTACATGATTTGCTTGACTTTCCTGAATCCAGCTTGTTCTGGTCGGAGTTCTGTCTCCAGTGCGTCCTTTAATCTCTCCAGGATGATGCGACTCAGGATTTTACTTGGCGTCGATAGGAGCATGATTCCTCGCCAGTTCTTGCAGAGTGAGGCGTAAGTCTCCCTTCTTTGGTAGTTTTACGAGGTAACCTTTCCTCCAGTCAGTAGGCACCTTTCCCTCCTTCCAGACCTTTTGCAATAATGGAGTCAGCATGTCCGCCGTAGTCTCTGGGTCAGCTTTCAGTGCTTTAGGGGGTATTCCATCTGGTCCGGCTGCTTTTCCAGCTTCCAGAAGCTTGATTGAGTTCAAGACTTCAGCTCTCGTTGGAGGATTGGTGTCAACTTGCAGTTGTGTGCGCGCTGTTGTTGGTATTCCTGGACGGGTTGCAGGTGATGGTCGGTTCAAGAGTCCTTTGAAGTGATCCGCCCATTGTTTAATCCGTTTTTCTTCCTTGGTGATTGGGTTCCCTTGGCTGTCTTTCATAGGTTTCGCTTGTGTTGATCGCTTCCCGGATAGAGATTTGGTTACTTGATAGGATGTCCTTAGCCCTCTTTTTTCTGCAGCCTTCTCAGCTTCAGTGGCCAAGTTGTCGTAGAATCGTCTTTTGCCCTTCCTAGCACTCTTCTTCACTTCTTTGTCCAGTGCTTTGTAAGTTGAGCTCAGCGTCTCCTTCTATTGTCCGTCCTTGCATTGAATCATTTTCTCTTTCGCCATTCTCCTCTCTTCTATTAGCTTCGAAGTTTTCGTTCAGAGCCGTTCCTTGTCTTGTTTCTTCTTTCTTCCTAAAACCGTTGAACACGTTTCGTTGAAAATCACTTTCAGAGAGTTCCAATGTTCTTCCACGCATGATTCTTCAGTGCTGTCGCGTAGTGTTTCCTGCTTTGCTCTGACAGTTGCAGTGAAGGTGTCTTTTGTGGTTGTATCCTTCAGTTTTGAGCGTTGAACTTGCATTGTGGCCTATCCCCAGCTATCCTTGAGGCTTTTAGCTTCACCTTGAAAGTCCCTTGTACTAGATAGTAGTCTGAACCCACATCTGCTCCTCTCCTTGACCTTGTGTCCAGTAGGCTCCGTCTCCACTTTCTTGAAATTGAGATGAAGTCTATTTGGTTCTTGGTGTTTCCATCTGGTGAAATCCATGTCGTCTTGTGTATATCCTTGTGTTTGAACACACTACCACCAATCACCAAATCATTGAAGGCGCAGAAGTCTGAGAAGAGTTCACCATTGTCGTTCATTTCACCGAGGGCCTCGCAACCCATGGTGAGTTCTCTTCCTGTGTTGTCTCCTCCCAGCTTCGCATTCATGTCGCCCATCAGGATTTTGATATCGCCGTTTGGGACGTTGTCCATTATTGCTTGTAGTTTTCTGTAGAACGCCTCCTTCTTCTCTTGTTTTGAGACGTTTGTAGGCACATAGCATTCAATGACTGTAACTTTCCTTCCTTTTGAGTTGAACCTGGCTGTCATTGTCCTGGAGGAGATTGGTTCCCACTGCATGAGAGCTTTGGCTGCTGTTGGTGACATCATGATGGCCACTCCCTCGGTGTGCTCATGGCTGTCCTCTGGGTGGCCGGAAGAGATTACTGTCTCTCCAGTAGGTAGTTGTCACCTTCCAGTTCCGTTCCATCTGCTTTCACAGATTCCCAACACTTCTATTCTGTACCTTCTCATTTCAGCGGCTATCTGCGCAGTCTTTCCAGTTTCGTACATTCTGCGAACATTTCAGGTACCCATCCTTACTTTTGCTTTCATCGAAAGAAGGCACATCGGCTGACTGGCTTCCCGAAGGCTTTCACCAGCCTGCGTCATTTCACATCCCCGATTCCAGCGAAAAGTAGGGCTATTGCTTATATTTTTAGAATTTTTAATATATTGATTCGTTGAAGTTTCTGTAGCGGTTTGGTTGTTTTACAGGGGTGGAGTTGCTAGCACCACGCCCCAACTCTCCCTCTTTACCCGGGCTTGGGACCGGCGAGAAAACTAGTAAGCTAGTAGCCTAGCAAGCTAGTATCTGGCGAGTTAGTACAATACTATTAAGTATTAATTTCGGCTCATCACTTGTTGTATAAATATGGTTCACATCAGGGCATACAACAATCCATAAGCCTTCTACCTGAACTTCATTCACGGTAGGTAGTGTACTGATCAGGGTTCACTGAGGAAAGCAAATTTGCTAGGTGCTGATGCTAAAGCCTATCTAGACGTCGGCTTGGGCACTTAGACATGTGGATTCCTTGGAACGTTATTGAGCCATATCACCAGCAGTCTCACGCCTCTTGTTCCTAGTGCCTCTAAGATCCCAGCAACGCAGTCTACAGCTCCGCCTGTCGCAAGCTCAAACCAACAGTCAGTAAT